TTAGCGCCAAAATGGAGAAAATCTGCTGACAAATCACTGTGGCACCCTTCATGCAGCCACTCCAATACGATTTACGAAGTCCAGCTGCAAAAGACAATAGTATTACGAATGCAGCCACAGCACGAAGCAACCTTGACGCAGCCATTTACACTGCGGGAACGATCCTACAGTTGCAAAGCACAACTGGAATTCCATCTTCGGCACTCATCCACCAGCACCACTTGCAATCCCTTTACATTGCGGGAACGATCCTAGAGTTGCAAAAAATCACAATGGAATTCCATCCATCGGCAACTCATCCACCAGCACCACTTTTAACCCCATTTACAATGCGGGAACGATCCTACAGTTGCAAATCACAATGGAATTCTGTCGACCACACATGCAACGAAAACGTTGAAACCCCATTTACAATGCGTAACCGATCCGACCATGATCCCGCCCATGATTCGACATGATCCTAGCATGATCCGACCACACACGAAACCGTCTCGCACCCGTCGCACAGCAGAGGTAGATCATCGGTTCGGGGAACGCACTTTGTATGGAACACATAGGGTTTCGTGCATCTGCTATCTCTCAAAACGCATTTCGTGCGAGACTTTCCTTCAAAACTCCATCAGCAACTCATCCACCAGCACCACTTGCAACCCCATTTACAATGCAGGAACGATCCGACAGTTGCAAATCACAATGGAATTCCATCGGCAACTCATCCACCAGCACCACTTGCAACCCCATTTACAATGCGGGAACGATCCTACAGTTGCAAATCACAATGAAATTCTGTCGACCGCACATGCACGAAAAACAGTTGAAACCCCATTTACAATGCGGAACCGATCCGACCATGATCCGCCCATGATCCGAACATGATCCGAGCATGATCCGACCACACACGAGACCGTCTCGCACCCGTCGCACCGCAGAGGTAGATCATCGAGGTTCGGGGACGCACTTTGTTTGGAAAAACATAGGGTTTCTTGCATCTGCTATCTCTCAAAAACGCATTTCGTGCGAGACTTTCTGCAAAACTCCATCGGCAACTCCTCCACCAGCACCACTTGCAATCCCATTTACATTGCGGGAACGATCCTACAGTTGCAAATCACAATGCCCTGACTAACTCTTTCCCTCACTAACTCTTTCTTTGACTAACTCTTTCCCTCACCAACTCTTTCCCTCACTAACTCTTTCTTTGACTACCTCTTCCTTTAACTAACTGTTTCTTTGACTAACTGTTTCTTTGACTAACTGTTTCTTTGACTAACTCTTTCTTTGACTAACTCTTTCTTTGACTAACTCTTTCTTTGACTAACTCTTTCTTTGACTAACTCTTTCTTTGACTAACTGTTTCTTTGACTAACTCTTTCCCTGACATTCTAAAAGTCCGTAACACGGAAGTTTCTCCCCCTAAACTTCCTTTGATCATAATGTTTAGTAGGGTTAACGATAAATAATAGTTACTGATGCTTAACGATTAATGCTGGCCAATGGTGGCTCGTGGTGGTTGAGACTAGTTAAACATGATCAATGCTGATTCATAATAATTCGCCATGGGACTTTTGAACGGGGGATTGCCAATGGTTTCAATATTGAAATGGCAGACTGGATGGTTTGGGGGTACCCCCATTTCAGGAAATCGGCGTTAAGCCATTTATTTTATCAAAATCTGAGATGAAATGCGGTTTATTAAGAATTTCAACAAGCCACACTAAAACTAGGGGATTTGTTCAATCACACAACTTATAGTAGGGATTAGATTCTAGATAGGCTAAAGATAGGGGATTGAACGTCAGGGGACAAAGTTTAGGATACAACAACAGTGCTAGATCGAGCCCATTAAAGTGACAAGTTTGAACCCATTTGAAACAAGGATGATTTTTGAGCCTTGGTCAAAGGGTGTCTACTCCTCAATGACTGCAAACAAATGGAATCTTGTGACCTCACACTGGCCAAGCTCCAAACAGGATGGTTTTTGTGATACCGGTGATAATCATGGTCTTCAAATGAATGCGATGAATCTTTTTACAATGTATATACATATACATATATATATATATGCACATACAAACGTTTGCACATACCTTTCTTTCCCTACACGTAGATGGATATAGACATGGGAATATGTAATGATGTATACGCAGGTGTTCATAGATATACATGAGCACACACACCTACCTACCTACCTACCTACATACGAATGTACGTACGTACATACATTACATTACATTACATTACGCTACACTACACTACACTACATTACATTACATTACATTACATTACCTCACATTACATTACATTACATTACCTCACACTACATCACATCACATCACATTACATTACATTACAGTAATACATACATACATACATACATACATACATACATACATACATACATGGAGACATACATACATACATACATACATACATACATACATACATACATACATGGATACATACATACATACATACACACATACACACACATACATACACATACATACATACACACAGACACAGACACACACACACATATAAACATATACACATATAAACATATACACATATAAACATATAGACATATAGACATATAGACATATACACATATACACATTACATTACATTACATTACCTTACATCACATCACATCACATTACATCACATTACATTACATTACATTACAACATTAAATTACATTACATTACATTACATTAATACATACATACATACATACATACATACATACATACATACATACATACATACATACATATATTTCTATGCACACACGATTCGAACATACACATGTGCATCTATGCATATATATATATATATGTATATATATATAGACAAACGATCGATGGATTGATTGATCGATCGATTAATAAATGTACATGCAGCTTTAAACATGCACACACGCACGTACACACACACATACATAATATATATATATATATCTATACATGTTGCATAATATGTAATTTGTATATATATATATATATGTACACACAACTCAACATATATATATACAATATATATATATATGCATGATATGTTTTAGATACATAATAGATATTTGTGTATGCATATATAAATATATATATATATAAATATAAATATGTATTTCATATTTCACCAAACACGCGCGTACATACACACACACACGCACACACACACACACTTGTGTCAAAGTTGACACACAAACATATGCACGCACACACGCACACACATACATGCACATGCATGCATGCATACATTGACATGTATATGCATAAATAAATACATACATAAACATACGTATGTACAAAATCATATGTATACATATATATGGTCCCGCCCGGCGCCCAGCAACCCCCCCCAATGCTATCCCCCTAGCCCCCCCCCAGCAACCACCCCCACGGGGGTGGCCAGCCATCTACCACCATCCGTCAAGATCTCATATGCTCATATGCTATACTTACATGCTGGCCTCGTGCCACCTATGCACTACATAACAGGATACCAGAATGCAGTGTTCACTGCTGCCTATAATATGCCCATACAATCTGTTTACAAGGTATTACTGCCAGTAAAGTACCTTGATAGTAGCCATATACTACCTATACACTATCTACATGATACCTCTATAACACCCCACACATCCCACCGGGGGGGCGTGGGGGTAAGCTACAGCTACACCTTTCATCACTCTATTAACAACGTATTCCTGCCCAAAAAGTACCTTCATAGTAGCCATATACTAGCCACTATCAAGATCTCATGTGCTATACATACTTGCTGGCCACGTATTACCTATATACTATCTACATGATACCTCTACAACACCCCACCCATCCCACAGGGAGGGGTAAAGGAGACCCTAGATGGATCATTTACATGCTGGCCACATACGACCTACTTACTGCCTTACGCGCTAGTTGCGCCAGTGACACACTACCTAGACCCCACCCACCCCACAGGGGGGCGGGGGTAATGTATACCCTACATCGATCATTTTAATGCTAGCGACGTGCCAACTATATCCGACACAAATATATATATATATAATTATATATATAATTATATATATATAATTATATATAAATATCTATGTATAAATATCTATGTATATATATATATGTATAGATATGCACACAAGCGTTTGCACATACATATATATATATATACATATATACATATATATACATATATATATACATACATACAAGCATATGCACACACACACAGATATATATATATTTGCATATGTAAATACAACAACCAAAATAGATTTAATACCAAAAATGATTCAAAATACATTCTCCTGCTATCAGAGGTGGTGCCCCTGCTGGTGCTGGCACCGCTGTTGGGCAACAATCTCTCCAGTAACTTCACGGTGCCGAGGGGCCGGGGGAAAACTAGAGTCTTGTAGCTTGGTCAATGCTGGGGCCGAGTTTGCTGGAACATATCTGAAACTATGGGGGGAAACCTGAAGTAGTATCGGCAAAACATGGGAAAACCACAAACTGCAGTGGTGAACCACCATTTTCCCAATTGAATGGTCACAATGTGCTTTTTGGGGTCGGAGGTACAACGATCTCCGAACGAGATGGCAACATGTATGTGATGACATTATGGCTGCAGGTCTGCTTTCTGGTAGATAAAGGGTAGTATGTACCAGGAGGCAAATGGGTAACTTTTGGAGTATCGATTACCAGAGACTAAAAGAGGGAATGCTGGCTTTCATTCCCCTCTTCTCAGGGTTTTGATTCACCAACAAAAGTCGGAGACAATTTTTGGTTAATGTCAACAGCAACCAGTGTCATGTCATGGTTGTTCGACCGCCGATGGGGATGGTTCTCGGCACGCACCACAGTTTTAATCACCTAATCTGCTCAAAATTGCAAGGGTTTGAGGTATACTTCATTCCGGAGGGGGCCGTGCCGCAACAGAAACATCCACAACATTTGATGGCTCAAAGCGTAGCGTAGCCATCGCAGTTCTGTACAGGCAGCCCACTGCTCCTGCGAGGACCCCTTCAGACCGGAGGACTCGTGTCCTGATGCACCCGGGCCATATTGAGGAATGGTTTCAATTCGCAAAAAACTCCTTGCAGAATGAGTCCGGCTGGAAGGCAGGTGAGTGGGGCGATGGGGCCCGGGGTGATTGTTGGTGATCCGAAGTTGGGAAAATTGATTGAAATCTTGGAATGTTTATTTTTTTGGTCTTAGGATCTTGTATTCATCCGTTTTGAGTGTGTGACTACAACTGTCGTAGAAGATCGGATATTGGGATAGCAAATTCAACATGGGGGCATCCCAAAAAAAGGAGGGATCCCATAAAATGATTTGGCAAACCACCCGCCCAAACCTTTGGGCATCTGAGGCCGCAGTGGTACCGAAAAATCAGGGCTAGCGGCTAGCGAATTGTCTTCATTTTTGTTGCTTGTTGGTCAGTGAAATCCCCAGCAACATCCATAAGGCACCATTATCCCTGGTGTTAAAAGGTCAGGTTCATATCGCTACATCCACGGCGTTTATCATCACTTTTTGCTTTAAATTTTGGATGCATCTTTTAGCATCACCCACCAAAAAGATAGAAAAGTAAAATCGTACTAAATTGAGATTCATGATTGTTCATTTTTTTTTTGGGTTCCCGTACCTGTATTAGAAAAAACTGAGGAAAACGGCGCTTGGGTCCTTTCCACGTGTTTCTTGTCGGTCATCAACTAAGGTGGCGGCCCAGAGGAGCCAAGATACGCTGTGCTACCAAGATTGCCTCGGCGGCCGCACGGTGAAGTTCGACTTCAAGGAAATTTACGTTCCAGGCGCTTCGAATCTGTTCCAATTTCGGGCTTCGAAGGAAAGAACAGAAATTTGAAATCACCATAATATTATATAATAGTGATAATATAGTACACTATATATATATTATATACCTGATATTATCACTATTAATATATAGTCCCATCATCAAGCCAATTTTGTTTGATTTTTGGGGTGGGATATGTCAAGCACCCAAGTGAACCCTGGAGCGTTTTTTGGTGTTAGCTGAGATCACGTTGAACTGTCCCCAGTAAGTGGAAGACATATGAAGATATCCGATTTCCAGTCACATTTGAAAGGATGATTTTCCCATTTCCCATATATTTCCCACTGATTTTCTTGATTTTCATGGATCTTCAAATGATTTCATGTTGTTTCCCGAGAAATTCCTGTTTTTTCCGGGCTTTCCAGGTGGATTTTTCCCCATCCCCGGTTCAGCGCAGCTGCGCTTTACGTGCATTACGACGCAGGCATCGACGAGCCAGCGGAGGCGATGATGCGCCCGGAGGCACGAAGCCAGTCCCACGATTGCGGCTCGATGGTTTCTGAAAGTCCCACGATGGCTGTGGATGCTGTGGGTAAAACAATGCCATTTGATGCACTATTTGATGCCAGCCATGCACCATCCCCCCCAGTGGATTTTTTAAGCGTGGTATGGAACTACTTACCCATCCCCAGTCCCCAGTCACCATTTTTTGCTTGGTGGTATAAACTTACCATTTCCAGGAAAATGGGTGGTAAAATAAATGGCATTGTTTTAGCCGCATTCTTGTATATCAGCTGGTATATCCACTGGTGATCAGAACCGGTATATCACACGAAATATCCGACGAAACTATGTTTCACTGGGTTGTGATATACGATGCCGATTTTACCAATGATTGCGCGCTTGCCTGAGATGCGTGCCTTTTAGCATGGCTCATGTATCGGTTCCGTGTTGAGAAATCGTTTTTTTTTGCAGTCACCGATTGATCCCTTTAGTTTATTGCAACTTCATCGGATAAAATTATAAACCAACCATGAGATTTTCGGTTACACCACATTTTGGAACCCAAACACATCAAACAGGAGAAACCCAACAAACGGATTTGGAACAATGAGCGCCCGCGTGAGATGCCCAACAGCAAGTAATCTTTGCCAAAAAGATCAACGCAGGGAGATAATGACCACATATGAAAACTCAAAACCTGAGAAATCCATATAAATCTGTATTTGGGAGGCATCCACTAGAAGGTGATCGTTGGGGGCTCTCACCCTAGGCTTTCCTGTGTGTCCAAGGCAAAAACCGTCAAATTAAGTTGGGATTGCAGCAAATTGTGGCACCTGGAGATGCGTTTGTGGAGCAAACGAGCAATTTCTGGATCCTCTTCATGATTGCCTGTCTCTTCGGCCACTCAGATTTTTTTTGTTTTTGGCAAAATTATTGTTGTCCATTTCAGTTGAGCTGCTTTTCTGGCTCTCGTTTCGTAATTTTCCCAATCCGATATTTCTTTTCCCCCTTCCCAACCGGCAACCCGCCCCGGCCATCCCAACATTTCCCAACAACATCAGCTGAGGCGAGTCTGGGCTGCAGACGGACAGCTTCTTCTGTGGCTGCAAGCCCACCTTGGCGCGTCACCAGCGCCGCCTGGATTTTCCCGAGGAGGGCGATTGTGCCTATGCCAACTTCCAGGGCCACACGTCCGGATGCCAGGAGACCCTGATGGCCGAAGGCCAAATGGCAAAACAATTGAGTGGAAAGTCTCATAAACGTGTATCCTATATCCTGTTGATATGTTTGATTGCTGAAGTCTCCTTGAGATTTTCGTTTCGCAAGTCTCCGGGTTTTGGAATCGATCTCTGATTGTGCTGCTTGAAATCTTACTGCGCCATATTCTGGCCATATTCAGGTTCTTTCATGACAACACACCTGATTGCAGAGAATGCAGGTGAAGGTTCATGCAGACAACCCTCCACGAAAACAAAGCCTGCATGCATGAAAGTTTGGTGAACGGTTTTTGTTGAGGTTTTTCGCTGCGCTTTCGCATTGGCGAAAGCAGATGAGTAGAGCAATCGTTTCCGCTGCGCCGCTGTGACCCACCTTATTAAGTGGGTAATGATATCATGTGAACTAAGCCAGTAATAAGTTGGGATGTGCCCCAGTCAGACTACTATGATCCCAGAAATCAAATGTAACCCAGGTCGATTTGGGATGGTTTATACCACCCACCAACTTCTCATCTTGATGGTGTTAATATGTGTTGATAAATCCCCTTAGGGGCCCCATGGCAATTCTCCAGCGCAAAAAGGAGCTTATGGTCATTGTGCGGAAGGCTTCGCAGCGTCATCACTTTCGGCTGATGATCCTGTTTCGCGTGCCTGACGTGGACGGGCTTTCAGGGTCAGGGGTCCTCCAGGGTTGTGCCAATGGGTCCCAACAAGGGGCGAATTTGATCCCGGGATGATTAAGCAATTGGTTACCTCCAACATGAACATTTATGATCAAGATCGATTCCGGCCGTTGAGGCATACCACTAAACGGACTGCCTTTATGTAAAGGTTTCCACGATTCAACTTCTTTGTTTCAGTAGCTACCATTTTGAGTAAGAATCGGGTTGACAAGTTGACGACTGGTTAATGACCCCCTTGCAACCCATGAACAACTCTTGTAACAACAACGTACGTATACATGAGTAGACCATTCCATACCATTCCCACAACCGAATGTTATACAGTGGATCTGTACATTTTGGGGATCAAAGAGGAAGGGATTACCACTAAACTACAACCCCCGCATAAGTTCATGATTAAAACACAATTTACAGTAGTGATTGTCAAATCCCCATTTTTGTTTGTTGAATTCTTATTTTTGTTGGTCATATAAATCAGGTTAAATCCCTAATCCCTATGTTTGGAAGTTATATAAAACCTCATTTTTTCATGCTTGAATCAGGTTCAATCACAATGTTTGCTGCTTTCAATCAGCATTTTGTTTGGTTAAGTCAAGTCTGGTTAAGTTTGGTTAAGTCACAGTTTTATTGTGTTTCTGTCGCTTGCTTCGTATCGTTTTTGTTCACTTCACGTCTACCTCTCACGCCGACGCCGGCGCGCAGCCTCGCGAGGAGCTGCTGCTCTCCTGGACCTCCAAGTCCTTCGTGATTCTGCTGGAGCGTTCTCGTGAGGCCGTTGGTTCATAGCGGTTGCTGCAGATGGGTTGATTAACGGCGATTTCATGGTGATTTGTGATTCAACGGTGACACGGTGATTAATGGTGATTTAATGGTGATTTAACGGTGATTTCATGGTGATTTCATGGTGATTTAACGGTGATTAATGGTGATTTAACGGTGATTAATGGTGATTTAATGGTGATTTAATGGTGATTTAATGGTGATTTAATGGTGATTTAATGGTGATTTAATGGTGATTTGTGATTTAACGGTGATTTGTGATTTAACGGTGATTAATGGTGATTTAATGGTGATTTAATGGTGATTTGTGATTTAACGGTGATTAATGGTGATTTAATGGTGATTTAATTGTGATTTAACGGTGATTTCATGGTGATTTAATGGTGATTTAACGGTGATTAATGGTGATTTAACGGTGATTAATGGTGATTTAATGGTGATTTAATGGTGATTTAATGGTGATTTAATGGTGATTTAATGGTGATTTAATGGTGATTTAATGGTGATTCAATTGTGATTTAACGGTGATTTCATGGTGATTTCATGGTGATTTAACGGTGATTAATGGTGATTTAACGGTGATTAATGGTGATTTAATGGTGATTTAATGGTGGTTTAATGGTGATTTAATGGTGATTTAATGGTGATTTGTGATTTAACGGTGATTTCATGGTGATTTAACGGTGATTAATGGTGATTTAATGGTGATTCAATGGTGATTGGTGATTTAACGGTGATTAATGGTGATTTAATGGTGATTTAATGGTGATTTAACGGTGATTTCATGGTGATTTAATGGTGGTTTAATGGTTATTTGTGATTCAACGGTGATTAATGGTGATTTAATGGTGATTTAATTGTGATTTAATGGTGATTTAATGGTGATTTAATGGTGATTTGTGATTTAACGGTGATTTGTGATTTAACGGTGATTAGTGGTGATTTAATGGTGATTTAATGGTGATTTAATGGTGATTTAATGGTGATTTGTGATTTAACGGTGATTTGTGATTTAATGGTGATTTAATGGTGATTTAACGGTGATTTCATGGTGATTTAATGGTGGTTTAATGGTGATTTGTGATTCAACGGTGATTAATGGTGATTTAATGGTGATTTAATTGTGATTTAACGGTGATTTCATGGTGTTTTCATGGGGATTTAACGGTGATTAATGGTGATTTAACGGTGATTAATGGTGATTTAATGGTGATTTAATGGTGGTTTAATGGTGATTTAATGGTGATTTAATGGTGATTTGTGATTGAACGGTGATTTCATGGTGATTTAACGGTGATTTGTGATTTAACGGTGATTAATGGTGATTTAATGGTGATTTAATGGTGATTTAACGGTGATTTCATGTTGATTTAATTGTGACTTAATGGTGATTTGTGATTTAACGGTGATTAATGGTGATTTAATGGTGATTTAATGGTGATTTAACGGTGATTTCATGTTGATTTAATGGTGATTTAATGGTGATTTGTGATTTAACGGTGATTAATGGTGATTTAATGGTGATTTAATGGTGGTTTAACGGTGATTTCATGTTGATTTAATGGTGACTTAATGGTGATTTGTGATTTAACGGTGATTAATGGTGATTCAATGGTGATTTAATGGTGATTTAATGGTGATTTAACGGTGATTTAATGGTGATTTAATTGTGATTTGTGATTTAATTTGTGATTAACGGTGATTTAACGGTGATCTAACGGTGATTTAATGGTGATTAATGGTGATTTAATGTTGATTTCATGGTGGTTTAACGGTGATTTATGGTGATTTAATGGTGATTTAATGGTGGTTTAATGGTGATTTAATGGTGATTTAATGGTGATTTAATGGTGATTTAATGGTGATTTAATGGTGATTGAATGGTGGTTGAATGGCGATTTAATGGTGATTAAATGGTGATTTAATGATGATTTGTGATTTAACGGTGATTAATGGTGATTTAATGGTGATTTAATGGTGATTTAAGGGCGATTTAATGGTGATTTAATGGTGATTTAATGGTGATTTGTGATTTAACGGTGATTAATGGTGATTTAGTGGTGATTTGTCATTTAACGGTGATTAATGGTGATTTAATGGTGATTTAATGGTGATTTAACGGTGAATTTAATGGTGATTTGTGATTTAACGGTGATTAATGGTGATTTAATGGTGATTTAATGGTGATTTAATGGTGATTTGTGATTTAACGGTGATTAATGGTGATTTAATGGTGATTTACCGGTGATTTCATGTTGATTTAATTGTGACTTAATGGTGATTTGTGATTTAACGGTGATTAATGGTGATTTAATGGTGATTTGTGATTTAACGGTGATTAATGGTGATTTAGTGGTGATTTGTCATTTAACGGTGATTAATGGTGATTTAATGGTGATTTAATGGTGATTTGTGATTTAACGGTGATTTCATGTTGATTTACTGGTGATTTAATGGTGATTTGTGATTTAACGGTGATTAATGGTGATTTAATGGTGATTTAATGGTGATTTAATGGTGATTTAACGGTGATTTAATGGTGATTTAATTGTGATTTGTGATTTAATTGGTGATTAACGGTGATTTAATGGTGATTTCATGGTGATTTAACGGTGATCTAACGGTGGTTTAATGGTGATTAATGGTGATTTAATGTTGATTTCATGGTGATTTAACGGTGATTTAATGGTGATTTAATTGTGATTTGTGATTTAATGGTGGTTTAATGGTGATTTAACGGTGATTTAATGGTGATTTAATTGTGATATGTGATTTAACGGTGATTTAATGGTGATTTCATGGTGATTTAATGGTGATTAAATGGTGATTGAATGGTGATGGAATGGCGATTTAATGGTGATTAAATGGTGATTTAATGGTGGTTTAATGGTGATTTGTGATTTAACGGTGATTAATGGTGATTTAATGGTGATTTAATGGTGATTTAACGGCGATTTAATGGTGATTTAATGGTGATTTGTGATTTAACGGTGATTAATGGTGATTTAGTGGTGATTTGTCATTTAACGGTGATTAATGGTGATTTAATGGTGATTTAATGGTGATTTAACGGTGATTTTAATGGTGATTTGTGATTTAACGGTGATTAATGGTGATTTAATGGTGATTTAATGGTGATTTAATGGTGATTTGTAATTTAACGGTGATTAATGGTGATTTAATGGTGATTTAATTGTGATTTAATGGTGGTTGAATGGCGATTGAATGGTGATTTAATGGTGACTTAATGGTGGTTTCATGGTGATTTCTTGGTGATTTAATGGTGATATATTCGTGATTTAATGGCGGATGATGGTGATTTAATGGTGATTTAATGGTGATTTATTGGTGATTTAACGGTGGTTTAATGGTGATTAATGGTGATTGAATGATGATTTCATGGTGATTTAACGGTGATTAATGGTGATTCAAAGGTGATTTAA